CAATTCTTCCGGATACCCCAACACCACTGTTTAACTGGTACATAGCAGTCGAAAACTATATGCTCTTACTTTAGTCAATATGGATTAACATAAAAAGCAAAGACGAAAGTTGTCAAATAAGGATATGAGAAGAGTATGAAATACTGATTTCAAATATTGTAAAAACATATTGTAAACTTGCTCTAATTTTAATAAAAATTCTTTTGAAAAGTGATGAATTATTTTTGCAAACTACAACATTTTGCAAAGAAAACGAATACACTAGGGCTCGTTCAAATATTATCAAAGCAGTTTCATATTCACTCTCCTCTTAGAAAAGAAAACACAAGTGTTCTAACAAGAAAAATAGGAGAAAGAGAGTGAAGAAGAGAGAGAGAGAAACAACATCGCGCAAAAAGTATATTCAGTAAAATACAAAAATTACAACTCCCGTAGTTTTTTAATTGCTTCTGCTGCCACCATTCGACACATTTTGGCAGCTTCTCTCACTTCTTTTGCTGCTTCGATGAGATAGATGTTTAATGGTCGTCGTGGAGATAGTGGACGATTTTCTTCATCGTCTTCGTCGTCATGAGGTAATGATGTGGCAGCTGTTCGTGGATGCGCTCTTTGTCTTTGAAATGGACGTTGCGATTGAAATTGAGTGGGAGGTGTCTGAGCTCATGAAGCGGGTAAACTGACTTGACTATTTCGACGTGGGAATGGAGCCCGAGGGAGTGATGGTAGAACGGATGCCGATGATTCACTCGTTCTCCTTAATCCTTGAAATACCGGTGATTGTGTGTCAGTTACTTGTTGTGATGGTACAGCAGGAGAAGTACCTATAGCAGATGCTAGTTGGCGTGACGCTAATAAACTATTTAACCAATCTAATGAATCGGTTTGGGGTTGTGATCGTACACTCATTGTAACACGTTCGTCGTCGTTCTCCCAATCGCTGTCATCCTCCTGATCTACCGGCGTTGTACCAACATTTTGTTGTTGTGACGATGAAGGTTGTTGTTGTTGTTGAAAATAGGAGATTGGATTAATTTGTGGTGTATGCTGCGTGAGTTTTGCCATTGCAGCTCTACAAATAACAGAAAAAAATATTTAAAGGCATCCATAAAAAGGTCAAACTGGCCTGTGAACTGAACCTAAATAGGGGGAAGGTTACAAATAAGAAAAGCATCCGAGGAAGATAAACAACAGTGCAAAAAACCAAGCACAGTTCCATCATCACAGCTTGTAATGATTTTAAAATTCTTTGGGACAGTGTCGCGAGAGTAGAGGGAAGAGTAGGTGTTTTTGAATGCAAACAAAGAAACTCATAAGGATTAAATTCCTAGTCAACCAAGAAAATTACAGTTAGAGAGAAGAAAACTGTCTGTTCTTACTTATTTTTTTATTTCAAGACCTAAATGATCATAAACTTTCTTGGTTGCTTTCGTTAAACCCAAATAAATATAAAATTGCTGGATATTACCTGATATTCCCGGATTATTCATTATTTCATCGGCAATTCTTCTGGCACTTCTTGCACCAAACTGAGTATAAAAGCGTTCAATTAATTTTTTTCATTTTGTGAAACTATTATACGTGTCACTTGTTTCGGTTGAGCCAATCAAGAAGAGTTCGGTTGAGTAATCAAGAAGACATTATCTAAATGAGAAAAATGAATTTTGCTGGTTATGATTCACCACATGTTGATAGATACCAATACGTAAATACATCAAAATAACTGCCCTTCGACAAAGTAGAAAAAATATGC